TGTAATAATTAGTTTGATAGAGAAAGAAACAATTAACTAGACACATGATCTTGTACATTTTGATCAGGAAAATTTATTAAGAAGAATTTTTCTTTAGAAAATACAAAAATAGGCATATATGTGAAGAACTCATTCGATTCTATCAGGTATCTTGTAACTATAGTTTCAGGGTTTATAAAAGTGAGTAATGAGAAAACTTTCTACTTTAATCCTTTGTGCAAACTGTTAGTGATATATCTAATGATGGAGTAGATCAAATTCTATTTTTCTCTACCTGAAGTTAATCTAGTAAGATATTTACTTACATGAAGTAGCAAAAGCTAGTATAATGATGATGTATTGATAGGATATATTCATTTTTGTACACTACAACTTCGATTGACGGTAAAGAAGCTTGAAATAAATGTATATGGAAAGTTGTATCAAACTTATTGAACAAGCAATTTTTATTCAAGGTATATTTATTTCCAAATATAAATATTGACAAAATATGCAAGCATATAAATTATTCGAATGTCATTTCTCTTCCTTGTCATACACGAATAGGATGACGTTACTAATTGAGACCTCTCAAAATATGTCACAAAATGAAGAGATAATTATCGATCATGACTATTTTTAATTGATAGATCATTATTACTTATGGGTAGTTCCATGTAAGTGAGGTAGGTAGAAGGAAAAGAATAAGAGAGTAGAAAAATAATCATAATTAAATAAGAGGTTTACATATAAAATCAAAAATAAAAAGAGATAAAAATGCAGCTAAAATTTTATTTCAATAAATTTTCGACGGATTTGTTTTTTTTTCATCTAACTATGAAAATACAATAGTCTCACAAATTCAATAATCGATTGTTTTTATCAGTGTCTGCTGCACTCCCTCGACGATCAACTACCATAGTGAGATAAGTATTATCACAATTAAAAAACAAAAGATATCTTTGTTCATATTGGCTTGATGCTTGCTTGTATTTGACGACGTAGAAAAATCAAATGAAAGTCAAGATGAAAATGATTCGATGAAGTTATCTGTGACATCAAACGATCCGTAGTATTGAACTTTGAATTCTCATATTATCCTGACTCGATGAAATCATCAGTTATATCTTGTTATTCTAGTCATAGATCGAATAAGTTGTAAATATATACTGATTATTGGACAAATTTATTTACATCGATACTTGAATATTTACGACTCGTCAAGACAGAGGACATAAATGCATGCATGCTTCCGTTCTATGTTACTTTTTCGTCGTTCTTAATTGTTTTTTACCTTGTCATTTGCTGCATAAACACATGTGTGTACATTCGCAATATATTAAATGATAACGAGGCAGGTCGGAAGTGATATAAATAAACTTACCAGTGGTGCAATATCGATGTTGAGATATAATTATATTCATTTTTTGTATGTGAATACTATATTTACATGGCTGAGTCATAGTTGCACAATCGAACGATTGGGATAAGGTTTTGAAATTCTGATATATTAAATTAATTCTCTAGCACTATGTCACGGTTGACATGAAAAATCAGTTGAGTTTGAAATGCATGTTAATAGTATGAGTCACATGATTATTAATGTTTCTTTACTATTGTATTCAAATTTTGTAATTTTAGCAATTCTAAATCATTGGTTGAGCTTCTATGATTTATTTTAAAATAGTTATATATAGAAAATTTTCATTTTCTACCATTCTTATTTAGTGACTATTAGAATTTTTTTCATCTCATTATAATTAATCGATTGATGTTCGCTGCTATGAAGTATCCAATCAAGAAACACATTCTATGTCTGTTTGTTTTTAATTACATAAATTATTTATTTATTTTTTTTAAATAAGCATTTCAAATTCTAAACTACAATCTTACATTAATAAACTTTCTCACAATAAGTTTATTGAATAGATAATCAACAACCCATTTATACTCCAATTATTACTCAATCAAGCGAAAAACAGATCAGCTGCTATTCTAAATAGCATAAATCATTCAATTTCAAGTTTCTAACAATGAATTTGCTAACACTAAACATTTAACCAATCATTCGATCCCATCATATCACGAGCATCGATAAAAAAAACTATTTCATAAAAACAAATAGTTCAAATACTCTTGGTTTCATTTCAACCAATCGTTCTATGTCCTGAGCACCGATATTGAAACTACACTATAAGAAAAATGATAAGTAAGATTTACTTTTACAAAAAGAAAAACAATAAATAGAATGACTAATGGCTTTTCATCAACAAAATAACAGTACGAAGATACTTTTTAGCAAGATTAATTCTTACAGAGTAAACGATAAATATTATCTAAATTTTGAATGTTTATTTCCAATCCAGGAAATTTATTAAACGTAACAAACAACAAAATAATTAAAAAAATATCACTCAAAATTTATCTTGAGTGAGTGTAGATCTTCTCTTCCGCCTTATCCATACCTACACCAGATGTGATGTCTCGTACATGTGTCCTTCCAATATCTTCTATATCCCCTATGCTGGTTCTTAATTGAATATCCTCGGATACTCGTAGAAGACATCATATGATTTATAAATGAAAAGAAAAATAACAAATATCTATAAAACAAAAATTTAGACAAGTTCATTCATTATTCATAAAAATTGTAATTCAATTATAAGTGTTATTATTTTTTCTTTGTGATTATCACCTTTGAAAGGACTATCAGTCAGATTATCTCATAATATAGCATCATTATTATCTCTTTCTCTTGAATGTTTCCGTTTGTCATCGGTTTTATTGATGTGTTAGTATGTACTTTCAATGATATAATTTTATTTTTTATTCAAGACTATGTCACGTTGCAGAAAATGCGATGTTGCTAGAAGCTAGTATTAGGTAATAATAGTTTTTCTCAAACACAAAAACAAATGAATTTGTAATAGCAACGCAAGAACGAGAAATGAGAATCGAGAAAAGTCCTTCCCACACGACACTACCATTTCATCCATCGATTGTTTGTCTTGTTATCCAGGCAATTTGATATTTTTCTCATTCTCATCTACACATATTACGGCTTGAATTTCTTTTGCATCCACAAACAAACGCTTGTGCATCAACAAAACACCTAAATAAAAAAAATTTAAATAAAAAAAACAACAAGAAAGAAAGAAAGAGAACATCAACAACAAGTATATATAGTGGAAAATGAAATGCTCTCTTCTACGGGGCAGAATCCGCCAAAAAATAACAACAACAAGCCATGCAATCAATCCATAGTAAGTTAATTCTATTTTGTCCTCCTGATTTTATTGTGCACTCAATTTGGTGGCTTCAATAAGCAAGCATCTCTTTCAATCATTCTAACTCGGCAGTATACTTATTATCAATATTTTTCTTGTTTCGCTTTGACTCAATTGAAATTTTTTTAATATTTCATATTCTAAAATCGAGTACTACATGCTTTAGAATATTGTCTGAATTAAACTGATATTTTTTTTGTTCATGAACTTATGTTGAAAACAAGCTTGATTTGTACAGCATTTGCTCGTCGACATCCATTCATTTTGATTAGCATTCAATCAATGACTGTTTCTAAATAAGAGAAAGTAGTTGTTCAAGAATATTAGTCAACTATTTCACAATCACAAGTATATAGAATTTCGACATTTATAGTTCCTCTTGTTGAGGATAAACTATGCCAAAATAAATGTCATAGTTGATGAATGATGGTATTGTCTTTTGCAATGGGAGAGCGATTTTAAAATGATATATCTATATCTAGTAGCTTTTTCCCAACGTTAGACATAATGAAAGAAAATATATAAAGTTTTGAAGCATTCTCAAATAAGAATACAATCGAACAAGAGATGAAATAACGGCGAACAATCAGAATAAATCAATATTTTGATCAGAAATAGTTTATATTGAACAATACTATAATGCCTTGTTTTTAGTTTCTTTGATGTAGCTGTGCAACGTTTATTATCTTACTGGAAAGATAAAGAAAAAAAAAACAAGATTCTCCTTCTATCTCAAAATCGGAACCGACATCGCTGGTTCGATTTGCAAGGTCCAATGGTAAAGCATAGAAATACATTAGATATTTGTAGAAGATATAACATCATGAGCAAGTATTGCTAAGGTACCCGACGAGCATTTCCTAAGTTGGATTCTTTTCTCCTATCTTGATCAAAAGAAAATTTCGATAGTGAATTTCTGTAATACAAAATCAAAAGAAGAATTTCTTATTTTCGTTTCTAGACAATGAACTTCAGCAAGTGATCAACAATGTCAATTGAGCAGTGTAATTGCATCGGATGAATTTCCAAGCAAACATCTGAATGATATCAATATCGATGAAAAACTTCATTTTTTGCCCGAAGATTTTAATCATTTGCAATTTGATTCGTATAAATTCACAGATGGAGATGTTCATTCGACTATCTCAGTCACAGCGAAAGAAATGGTTGAAGAACAATGTGACGACAATTATAATCAAAGGTGAGACTTGACTTTTCTTCTTTCATCTTGGTCAAGGACTTTTCAAATGATAAAAAGACTCATCAGATGGAGAATTCGATGTAATAGAAACGGGTTCGATTTATTTCATTAGTGTCTCTCTAGTCTTCTGTTGATGAAAACTGACTACAGTGTATGACTAAGAAAAGTTTCTATCGATGAAAATTCTCATTTCTTCTCACCTTCACGTCAACATAAACAAATGAAATTTTACTGTCCTTTGAAATAATTAATTTATTGATTACTTTAAAATACTCTAGAATCTTTTCTTTGGTATTCGTAGATGTATCAGCGATTACATTATGACTAATCCAGATCAAAGTTTATCAAAATCCTACATGCATGAAGAATACCCAAATAGCAGTGTAGAAATTTATGCCGAAAATCAATGGTGTCTAGCAAATCATTTTCTACCAAATACAAAACAGAAATATTATATTCGAAACCAAAGCCGAACGGATATTCACACAATGAATATTTCTGAAAACGATATCGAACTTGCTCTTTTAGAAGAAAAAGATCTGAATATTGAGAATGGTAAACCCTATGGTTTCATGCAACACGCTGGAATAGGGCTCAGAAGATTATCAAAACAGGTCCAAAAATATCTTCCCATGCATCAGACTTTGCCCCACATGGTACTTTTTATTTGAATCCGAGTTATACTGATTGTTACAATTGGTTTTATACACATAATACTGAATTCGATGGATTGCACGCTATGCTTATTTACAAATTCGATCCTTGGATGCTTAGCAATAAAGGTGACGATCTTACCTATGCACAATGGAAACAGGTTGTTAGGAAACGAAGCATAACTCAGCGTAGATGTAAATTTGATTGGTCTTACACTTATCAAAATGCTGATCCGAAAAATATTGACAAAGAAGGACAAAAAGTGAATGCTCGTTGGACGAGTGACGGCAATCGTGCTAAGCAATTAGTAGTTTATAATGACAGAATGTGTTCGAAGATACATTCCTGTCTGGTAGCATGTGTATTCTACAAAGACATAAAATATCGTGAGACCTCGCACGAGCCACAGCAGATGTCTGTACATCGGAGTCGCTCGGTAATCAAGACTCTCAAGCTTCATCGCAATAGAGATGTTTCATCGAATGCTTCCCCACGTGAAGTCGACAATATGCGGACACATCGATCGAAAAGAAATAAACTTACCAAGTCTAAACGCAAATAGACAATCTCGAAAGAATTCATGCTTCGCGTCTTGATTCCATATGTTGAAAAAAGTCCTTTTTTTTACTCTTCTAGTGTCTAAAAGACTGCAATGTGACGATTCCAAGTCGACTTTTAAAACTATTGTAAACAAAAAAAACTCCATGTGCTTTTCAATTTTTTTCTAGTACGCTGCATCGATCAAATCTTTTTCTAGACACGTGGGATATCTTAGGTCAGGATTCGATCTTTTCCAGATAAATTCGCAGTGGAGAGCTTTCCAACTCAGTTCAACAACTTTCCAAGTAGAACTCAACGAGCTCTATTCAGTGATGTAATTTGATTTCCTATAACTCAGAATGTACTCGTACAAATCTGAAAATACCCGAAATTTACTAAAAATCGATCTTAGTGAATATGCGCAGGATTTGTCTAGGAACACTTTCCAGTCCAGTCTAACACCTTTCCAAGTACAACTCGATGAGCTCTATCTGATGGCGTGCTCAGATTTTTCCTAACGCGAATTAAAGTTTTTGGCTTATAGAGGGCGCTAGATGAAGGGTGTGGGTGTGGGTGTGGGTGTGGGTGTGGGTGTGGGTGTGGGTGTGGGTGGGGTGTGTTAGCAGAGAAGACTTCAAAGAAAGTCAAATCAAATAGCTAGCAAGACCGGTTTCGACAAGTGCTAAAAGTACTTATCAATTGCTTTTTGATTTTGAAATATTTCTCCTATTGCAATTGAAAC